TAAGGCTTAATGCCCTACATATAGAAGAGGGGAAAAATGATTAGTTTCTATGTAACAAGTCTTTATTACTAAAACACTAATCAATATAACGCTGGAGGCAGCCAGAAATAAACTAAATATTGACTCTGAACTTACAGAACTGAAATATCGGTTGATGAGATCACATTAGGCGTACAGTTATGCCTGATCTTTACAGTCTTCAAGTTTCAAAACGAAATACAGAAACAAACAGAAGGAGTAGCAATGGGATCGTCAGTATCCCTAATCGTAGCATCCAAGCAGCAGCCTGTATGCCAACAGAGACCGATCAGTTCTGTCTAATCAACGACGTATAATACAAGCAATAATACTATGTAAGCCTATGTATAGAACATTTCTAAAATTTATTACTAAGTTAGAACTAGACGGTAAATGATCCCAACATTTTTCATTATTTCCCACCAAACACAAATACAATATTTGCCATGAAAAGATGAGCTTATGAAATGTAATTCAAGTATTAACTAGGAAGTGCTTGCTTTTTACGTTTATCCTAAGTAACTGTCATTTAACTATATGAATCTTACACATATAATATACGTTGGAGAAATACTGATATACACTTTGGTTATCTCTTTTGTTAATAAGGTAAGTATGCTCCATCTTTTTGGTTTTAGTAGATTCCGCAGTTCTGAGTGATTACTTTTATGCTGGATGTATCACGTAAGCATTCAGTACTTGCAGGACAGTAAAGAAAGCTCACAGATGGCAGTATGCGTTGGGGAGGTAGTGCATTCTAATCAGTTCTTTTTGTAGTTGACAAATCCTAATGCCATGTTACTGTAGATATTAAAAGTGTTAAAATCAGAAAAATTAATGCATCCATTTAGAGCTCATTAACACTCAAGGAGTCGGTGAATACTAAAATTTATTTCTGATTTTTTGTATGACGTTCAGCAAGTGATTGAACATCTAATGCGAAACAGCTTCAAAATGATAATGTGGTTTTAGTGGTTTCAAAACAGAGTTTGTTTCCGTTATGAAAGTCAGGTGATTGAGTTAGGAAACGGTTATACAGAAGATATCAGCAGATGCGTGCACATAAATGAAGGCGAAGACAGAAGTTGATTTTCCGTATACAACTTTGTTGATGTAGACTGATTCTTGGGCCTATCGATATCCAACAAGGATAGAGAAATGTCCCATATGGAGTGTTGTACATTTTACAGATAGTCAACTGATAAAGATGGTTGATTCAGGGAATATTTGGTGCAAAAACAAAATGAAATTCATCAACCAGGCGTATGAATGACGTTATCAGTTACAGTGGGATTAAGGTTAGTAAATACCCTTTTACAAAATGTTACATCAGTTCACGCATAGCAGTTGCCCGTGTTGATACTTTTAGCTTAAATTTAGCAACGAATACCTATATCATACCATGAAAAGTATGGATTCATGCAATGATATATGTGAGTATGTTTGTGCTATGAAATCTAACGAGAGGATAAGCTTCTAGATGCCTGACGGAAATCCAAACTGTCTGTCTAAATTAAGAACAGATGGGTTAAGTACAAAGAATGTTTGCAAGGTGAAACCGTAAAAATTATTCGTCATAGCAAGATATATATATATAATGCAGTATCTAATTTTCAGTTTACCCTTCGCTAGGATTTATGAGCATATCAAAATACACTGATACATGGAAACAAAATATGATGTTCAGTATATTTATGCAAAGAAATTGGATGAAATCAAGCAGAACAAATGACCAAAACAGTTGACTAAATAACGAGAAGCACGCAACAGTACTTACGAAGATAACGCGTTTGGTATCTAACTTACTTTTTGTTGGTATAGAAGGGAGTGTTATAAGTCAGTTGGTTTCATCATCCAGCATCCAATGTATTGTGAGTTCAGTAACTGGTGGTTTCATGAAAATGAAATTAGAGAAAGCATTATTGGGTTATGTATAAGCGTCTATCGTGATTTTTGAACCAACATAGTGGTATCAAGCAAGTATATTTACTAAATTCTGTGTTCTCTAGAATGCACTCATAATTTATAGAGTGCTGGTAAGACAGGTTTCTAAATCACCGTCTGCACCCACATCAACTTTAGGATGTCAAATTGGAAAAATGAATAGAAGTGATTTCTTAGATTAGATTACTCGTCATAAACGTTACGATAATGGCCATCATTGTTTATCGAATTTGTATCATAATTTATCCGTAGAACAATACTCGAGACAAATATTTTCCCTCTTTGAGACAAACAGTGTTGTGTTGGTGAGGTTGAAAAAAATGCAGCTAACGCGCTTTGTTCGGTGCTGTTTGGTACCAAGAAAGGTTTACTCCATATGTATTACGAAATGCAATGGTGAAATCACTAAGATGTGAATAGCAAACATATTATTATTGTTTGCATCTTTTCTGTTGTAGTCAACAATTCGGATGAGTGTAAAAGCTGATGTTATGATTAGGGTATGGAGATTAGGGATTAAGAAACGATCAGTTTGAACTCGGAATCTGGATAAGTTATGTTATCAGCGAATAAGTTAGGAAGACGCATTAAAACGCTTCCAGAAAATTTGGGAGGAAAGTTACCTATAAAATAACTATCAGTTGAAGCTAATGCTGAAGCAGACATGAAAGATATGCGCTTTTTCGATGTAATCACTGTATACTGAAAGTATGAAACCTACTTTACCTTTACTATTTCGTTTTGTCTTATCACCTTCAATTTTATACTAGTAAGCAAATATTTCTGCGGTATCTATGCACTTGGGTTTTCCTAGGATGAATTAACCATTTCAGTGGTAATATGAAGACCAGGTTTTGTGAAGCTTAGTTTTAAGTATGGGGGAAACGTGAGAATGAATGTAATGCTCTGGTAGTTGGCTAGCTGTACACAAAAAACTTGTATCATTATATATACATTTAAGAGTATGAGTGCACCTACCTGTTTGACGAAGGAAATATGGCAAAGTGACTCAGGGAACCATTATGTTAGAAAGTTATTGACCGAAGAGACGAAAGCAGAAGGAAGCTTTTCAGAATGTATTACTGTTGGGAGTCTCTTTCACATGACAGAGAACTTATTCAAGTTGTTTATCTGCAGGTTGACGTGAAAGTACTCGATCACAACCATGGTTTCAGTCTCTCAGATCATAATTATAGCCTATGCTCAGTTTAATTTCTGGACTAGGAAAGCGTAAGAGCTGATAAACTAACTTTTAGTAAAAGATGAGGTTAAATCTAAGTCACCTTTCCCAATGGAAGACAATTTTGGCATCCAAAAGTAATCGCAAAATGGCTTGTGCTGTTTTACACCATTCAGAATCAGAAATGAAAATATTTGGGGACTGTTGAACTATGTCGCGTGTTGCCAAAGTTTGTAATTGACTGTTTATGGCATTTAGCAGCACGTCTACCAGGTCGAGTTGACACCGATAAGTTTGAGGTCTTAATCATCTAAGTAGCACGAACCGTACATATACTCACCACGAAAGAATACAACATTGTTTTTAGCTGTCTCGCTTATTGTAAACGATTACTACATGCGACGTAATGTTTTCTTATCAATTCACAACTGCTTCGAAATAATAATAATGTTTGACGCCGCATCGAATTGTAATCGCACATGATTAGCAGTGTAGACGTCAATACATTTTCTCCGAGCTGATACTTGGATTTGGAAGATGGCTACCAGAATAAGAGATTTGCTGGTCCCTTAAGAATGTGACCTACACCACTGCTTTTAGGAGAATCTAGACATAAAGTGGTGATGCAGATGGCAATATACGTCTTGATGACCCACTGTATAGAAATGAAAGCATCTTTGCTGTTGAGAAAGACTATCGGATAAAATGCCATGCGCCACAATGCCAGCATGTTATCAGAACTTCTGGAAGTTTTGCATGTTAGGAGGTGAACCAAGACGCGTCCTATCAACAGCTGTGTAAGACGTTTGTTGTCCGACACACTGGACTTACTTCAGAGCCACCCTGGTGTCTTGATTGAACTGAGGGGTCCAATTTAAGATTTACTAGATGCTGAAAGACGGAGAATGTTCTATGAAGTGTTGTTTCAGTGTTTGAATCATGATGTCGAACAGGCATCCATATGAATTCTGTGATAATGTTGTGTAACAGTACTTGTTTATTTTGGTAGGACCCAGTTATAACAGTAATTAACATACCCTATAAACATTATCCTAGACAGCGAAGTAGTATTTGAGATACCACTCATATCGCCTGAACCAGGTATTAAAAGTAACATTTGCATCCAAATCGTGGTGAAATTCTGTGGTATTATTAGCAGAACTATCAACAAGGGAAGCAGCTATGCTGGAATTCATGTTTGACAGTTTTTATTTAGTGATCAAGAGAACGATCGGATTTCGTGAAATCGATTTCCAAACACCTCATCACCACTGCTGAGACTTGAGGATACGATTAACTATAGATGCAGATAAAAGTGTATGAGAGAGAGACACACAGAGAGAGAAATGAATAAAGGTTAGTGGGAATACCCGACGTTTTGAAGATGACAAGCGATGTATACATCTGTATCATTTTGACCAATTTTCAGCCAAACCAGTGAAGATCACCAACCATGAATCCCTGTCATTTCGAGGATTCTAACCAAGTAGCTGAAATAGTTCGTAACAACAGTCACAGACTATACGGATAGGCACCATCTTGCTTTGGCCACCTTTAGCTTTTGTTCGACCTTAATCGGTTAGGACGGTACGACGAGGTAGGTAGTGGCTTGGTATGGGGGTCATGTGTCAGCCACCTAAGTTGCCGCAGGTTTGCAACCACATCAACTGACTTGTCTGATACTTCACATCTAACCTCAATATTGTTCACACTGTACTTCAAATTAATTTGTAAAATCCTACAGAGATATCGATAATCAACAACGCCCAACTTCCTCATGTATTTTAGCTTTAATGGTGACGTCCATACGTGATTAATTTTAGCCTGTTGACACAAAAATAAGAAGAATTAACAATCATTCGCTGATTACTTCATAATTCGATTGTTTATCAACAGATTTCTTTCTTTTTTACTCACCAAAATCCTTTTTAAAACTGTGAACAGTAGTATGTCACCGCTTAACTGGACAAAATCACTAGTCAGCAAATAACTTTTGGTATATGGCTTGAGTTAATTTCATTCCGAATAAGGGTAACATAATCGATCGATAATTATTATAAGCACAATAGCTAACTTGCGTTGAGTCAGTACTACTTGTAATACAAACGAATTGAATTTCACATTATAACCGAAATTACACTGTGCTTATCATAAAAACAACTAAATAAACATAAAATCAGTTAGGAAATTCAATACTAAGTACCGTTATTTTAATTTGTATGTACAAAAAAGATAACCCCAGCTGAAGACTGGAAAACCAAAGGATAAGATGTACACAGAAACAAGGGTTTAAATATAGCAACTCATACAACGATTTTAACTACAGATGATTCGAAAGATACAGTAGTATGAATAAAATATTTCAATGATTAATCTGATCTTGATTAGAATTCACTGGTTATCTCATCTTCAATAACAGGATTACTACTATTATTATTGCCATCATCTGTTTCTTCGGAAGACAGAGCTGTATTGTTTGTTTGACTGGTGGGTGTCTGAGTTAGAATACGGCGTGCGACCATAGTCACAGTTACGACTTGTACATCATCCTGATGAAGATGACTTGTTGAACTGTTGTCTACTTCCTCCGACTGTTGGCTTGATATATCACTATCTGCAAACGAAATACCAAATAACGAAGCAACTGTTGATGTAGCATTCACAAGACTGACGGTAAATACAGCTCCACAAAAGAATACTGTTAGTGCCACCAAGGCAAATGTAGAAACAGAATTAAAATATTGTCTGTAGGCAATTCTAAAAAACCAAGTGAAAAGCAAGAGGAAGGCAAACAACGGTTTCATTATTCGAGTACCCATGTCGAACTCTGTTAACACTGAATCACTTGAAGTAGCTTGAAAACCAAAAATACTTCCGGAATTTCCTGGATCGTTTCCAGAAGACGACCTGTTAACAGATGATGATAAAACAGAAGCCGTGATCAGACAGTGAATTGTTGAACCATCAGTTATACCATAGTCACAGAGTCTTCGGCGCTTAGGTTTAACTCCACTAGTGAAACCTGTCTCATTTGGTAATACATCCACTAATTCACGGCCTTGAAAAATAAGTCTAACATTCTTTTTCTGATTGACTAATTCATCTAGAAAGTGTTTTCTGAAAAGAAAAAAATAAACACTGGATTATGACGAGATCCATAGTGAACGTTAGTCATCAAACACTGAATACATACTATTTTTTTACTTCTAATGATCTGACTTTGGTAACAGCATGTACTGGTTCTGTAAAAAAGTACGTAATGTCGATAACTTTAAGCTAAGATAAAGAGTATGAAAAGACTAAATTGACCTTTAGTGACGATTAAAAAGTGCATATCCTCTCACCGAAATAAAATGATTAATAGATGACATGAGGTCAGTTATAGTAAACGAATGATCCTGGAAAATGAGTTTCATATCAGGTATTTTAAACTTAATAAATAAAATTAGCTTGCTGTAGAACTAACTATGATGTTGATATATCCGATACAGCATTTCATAGGTAGATAGACAGACAAATCAAAGTAAAACCGCACACACAAATGCATCGGTTTAAGTTGCGACACTTCATAGCACCATACAAAGAACAGGTAAATAGCAAAAGACTGATATCAAAGAAGACAAAGGTGTATAAGTGGAGAACGAATCTAAAATAAAGGTTAGTCAAAACATACAAGCTTTGGAAGACACCAAAGAGTGAATATATATGTGGTATCATAACCGATTTCTAGCCGTTTCAACGAGAGTTCTCAACCACTGATTCCGATTGTCTCAGGGACCCCAGTCAGGTAGTCTACATCTCCGTGCACGACCCACATCAACAGCCAGAGACATCATCAACTGGTGCCAGTTCTTAGTCTGGCCATCTTATATTTGACAAGTGCGAAAAGTATGCCAAACATACTCAGATTTTTGCTCAAGGTGTTCACAAGACCCTACATTTTGTCAACGTCTTTACCTAGCAGGACAATATCGTTTGCATACTCCAAGTCGACCAAGTACCCTCCACTGGGTAGTTCAATCCCTGTGAAGTCAGACTTACCTAGGGTTACGACCATTAGTACATCTATGATGAAACTCAACAGCAACAGTGATAGCAGATATCCCTAGTGCACACCACTAGTTATCGTTCATTCTGATGACAACTCTCCGTGAACTCTTACACGGCTGAGTGATTTCGACCAGATATCTTTGATTAGGATCGGATTCTCGCCCGGTACTCCTTTCACAGACAGACGCTCCCACAACAACTCACGGTCGACAGAGTTGAATGCCTCTTTCAGGTAGAGAAATATGGCAAGTGTCGGTCACCAGTAAGTATGTCTGTGTGAAAATATGATCGATGTATCTTTATTCAGGTCTAAAACCTGTGTGATTTTCTTGAATTTTCTCTTCTCAAGCTATACTTAGGTGTCGGATAACTATAGACTCTAGGATTTTGAACACAATATCAGTCAAACTGATTTCCCTATGTTTGTCACAAAAAGACTTACCTCCCTTCTTACAAACTGGAATGGTCAATATCACATCGATATGATTATGAGCAATAATTTATGCTCCAAATATCATCAAGTAAATAATACTGTATCACTTTGTGCTATACATCAAATAAACAAATCTAATATGGAACTACATTCTATCACAGTGCCCAAGTTTAACACATATTAAAACTCGAATACTTTTGTAAGCATCTCACTGATCGAACCAATAGCTTCATAACACTAACATTTCTTCAGTACGACATAAGCACCAAATATCACCAGGTTGAAAAAGGAAGTTAAACATACTTTTTGAAGCGATTTACAGACATGGTTGGAGATGCATGGACGAATCGAGTACGATCATTAAGATATTGCAATTTTATCACCAAGCGCTTTTTAGAACGAGTTATGTTCACTTGTTCTTCTGTGTTAGCTTTCGATTCATCATCTGATGAAGATGTGTTTTTCTGGACAGCTGAACTGGAGATTTGACCTACCAGATTAAAGTAAGTTGAAAAAATAATGAAAACCAACAGTTAATGAATGAATTAGGATATTTACATACAGACTATCGTGACTGACATATACAGAATTGCAACAGACAGACACCTCCATTTTAAAACGTTATAACAAGAAAACTCAAGCGCGTGTAAGATGTACGTTATAGAAAAAGCATCACACAAGTAAGTGGAAACAGCCTACAAAGCCGTACAGCTGATTTCTTTGAAAACCGAAATGCTATGATGATAAATCAAGACTTGTAAGAAAGTGAGTCCAGCTACTAATCACTGAAATAGGCATCAAATGTTTCTAGTATCTTGACATAGTTTGTGAGAGCGAATATCTAATAGCAAGGATTAGTTAGTAGTGAACATGAGTGAAGTTTTACAACTTCCATACTTGTACAGAAAAACAGAATGTGGTATCACGTTGAACGATTACAAAGCGACAAAAATCATTCAAGTTAATAAGTCAAAGGTGAAATTCATCCCTTAAATTATAAATGTTCAGTTGTTTTTAGATATTATCATCAATAGGAGATTCCAGACAGCATATTACTTTCACACCGAAGGGTCACTTATCGAAAAATAAAAGATCTATGTTTTGCATTTACATCCCTTGATAAATTTGAATAAAGCAAGAAGTAAATTTGCAGAATAAAATATTTTATCTCACAAATACAGCTCAGAGGCATACAGTCTAAAATTACAATGGTTAACACGTACGGTGGTACGTCAAAATAATTGATGATCCATATAACATGTGATAGAATTAATTGTACAGGGGCAAAAAAAATGTAAGAAAGGAATAATTAATACCAGCTAGCAGATTACGTAACACATAAAGAAGTGATATCCACAAGATTGGGTATCAACTCAGTGAATTTTAATCAGTAGATGAGTAAAATAAAGAATTATGGAATGAATATGAAAAAAATTCAATTATAGTTACCATGGAAGTGAGGCATTGATCACACTCTCCTTCTGCATGCAGAGGTTGATCTGAAAAGGTGTAATGGTAACCGTTTCTATGAAGCGTATTAATTTAAACATTTTCTGTGCATTTATTACTCTAAGAGCACTAGAAGTATTAATTTAATGTCGTGTGTCTACAAGGTATCTGACAACTGCACCGGTTAGAACCTTGCTTCAGGCAAAAATTCCTCGGAATATGCTTAGTGAACCGAATGGTTGCTCTTGTCTCAGTCCTTCCAAAATAACTGCTACCCTAAAAGTATGTAAATTCACAAATGCAGTTGACGGTGTTATGAGGAAGATGATTTATCCGATTCAAACTGGTTTATTGAACATACGGCATCGTATACTGATACAAGTTTGCCTGCAGGAGAACTTATCTTTGATGCTCCTTTGATTCTTGTGTCTATTCTCTCAGATATTGCATCTCATTTGAATCTAAGGTGAATAAAAATCTTCTTTTTTTCAACCGTTTGATGCATAGCTCTCTCATCTTGTTCTTTCCCATACTTCACAAAAAACTTCTGAGGATATTCATTCTCTCTGAAACACCTTTCAACAGTGCTTAGTTCTTCCTCTAACTTGTCTGCAAAACATAAGTTTTTAAGTCTACTGTACAATAATTTGAGTAAATTGCGCTTATAACAGGTAGAACAGAAACTTGTAGTTAAAATATTCTTCCATCCATGTATCTTTTATATGGATGGCTTTTCAGTTTTATCATCATTTCTTTTTCTCACGTTGAGGTTCGAAAAATTAAATTCGTTGTCATGCTCATAATCCATCGTAAATTTAATGTTAAGATTAGCCTTGTTGACTTTGTTGAACAACAGAGTTGTTTGGTTCTTTTCGGTACAAACAACATGTGTCATCAATGTATCTGTGGCTACTGAATTTATGAATTTACACGCACTTGTGGTAGCAAGTGTACTGGGGGGACTGAGAGGAAGGGATCCATTCAATTAGCTGAGCATATTCTGAGGAATCCATGCCTGAAAGGAAGTAAGATTATAAACAATTGCAATTGGTAGACAATTCATAGACATTGATACTTCCGGTGCCTTTAAAATAATAAACGCACAAAAAAACATCTCTTAATAAGAAGGCTGTTTACACAAACAATTACCTTTACTGCTTAAGTGTACCAGCAAACCAATTAGATAGAATGACAACAACAAAAACAAACCCATATATAAATGTAGATTTGCTCTAATTCATACATTAGCAACAGCACAAAAGAAGATCAACAAAAGTAGAAGGATATCAAAATCAATAAGAAACAAAAGAATGTGAGATAAACAAATGAATGAGGAGAAATAAGATAATCAATATTTTAAGGAAAGTAAAGTACAACGATTGTATCTGATCCATAGTGATCAATAATCAATCATGTTATCTGAGGTCTTGGTTAAATAGAAAAATCATGCTATCCCTGAACAACTCATTGAGTGACCTTAAAAAGTCCATCGTAATTCCGACCCATTATCTAGCTCATATTATTCAAACATAAATCTGTGAAGAAGAAATGAAGCTTTATATTATGGTTTCGCGCTAACTGTCAAGCCTATAAGATTTTCTACGTATTTCTTCATTACCTACATTCAAAGAAATCGGGAATTAATACCTAACAATTTATATGATTCATGAATGAGCTGTTTCCATCATAAACCTGAATCCAATTTTCTAAACCTTGAAATTTGATTTGCAGTGAGTTTAGTTTTCATCAAGTCATAAAACAAGAAAAAGACAAGAAATAGGTCCTCTTTACAGCACCAATACTCAAAATTAAGAACCTAAAACCTCTTTTTTTAAAGTTAACCTCAATACTCTAACGCATAATCTTAGTTTCAAAGGCTGCAACCTGAATTTCGATAAACAGTGGAATCGTAACTCTCTAGTCATTCAGACTTCTAACTTCTTGCCTCAATAACTCCGAAACCTTAGCAAAAATAGCAATAATTGAAAAATAGTAAGACAAAGAATGTCAGGACCCCTAGAGAGCTAAATCCAGAAAATAACCCAACCACGTCTAACCGGCCATTCTAATGACGATATCATATACTCATTTCCCCGTGACTTCAGAATACAGGCCTGGTACACTGAAGCCACCAATCGACAATTATGCATTCAAATAAAAGCTTTCTTCTACTTTGGTTTCTTCATAAGATATGTCACCCAGTGAACCAGTATCATTTACTGGATAACGTTTCGGACACAATTTATTGTCCATATTCATATCACGTGACTCTACAACTTCGAAACAGAGTTTATATAGTCCTAATTTTCTCTCTTTCTTTATGACGACAAGGGTAGTAGAACTCTCCATATATCTGGGACAGGTGTAGAATCATTTCCATTGCATATATTTGGTGTTGATTCGATAAACAAAGATTCGGTTATCAATCTCTCCCTCCACCCAACTAAGTTAGTTTTCAACACTGTCGCTCTATCCCACTCTACTGTGTGACTGTGTGTGATTGCGTGCAGTGCTGTAGCCGAGCTTTTCTCTACATTTCTTAACTTGTTATGATCTACTAATCTTAATTTAGCTAAGTTTTTGTGCTCTGTTATTCTAATCACTCCTGGTCAACTGATTTGACCTTGCAATCATTGCAAGGCAATTGGTAAACCGAATTATTATTCTTAATTGCATAAATAGCATCTTTTAACTTGCAAAGCTTGTTTCTAAGTGACTTTCTTTGTCTAAATACCACATGACTTCCAGCCAGATTGAGAATTATTCTCACTGTTTCCCAGGTGCCTTCCAAAGGCTTTGAATTCTCTATCTACCTTGTTATTATTATTCCTAGGAGTAATAATAGTAGCAGCGGTAGTAAGCATCAGTAATGATAACAAGGTTGAAGGAAGAAGAAAGAAGATAAGGAATGGAATGGATCTCGATGGACACACGGAAGCTGATAGAGCAGGGAGAGGAGGATGGTGAAACAGAAGATACACCAGTGCAGTGCAAGGATGCACAACGACAAGAGGAGCAACTGAGTACAATGTATAGAACACTACACTGGACAAAGAAGTGAAGAAGAGTGCACGCAAAGACAAAAGACACTTCTACGAAACACTGGCAAGTGAAGTAGAACAGGCTGCCGACTGGTAGGAGAGACAGAGACCTGACAACATTGTATCAAATAACCAGGTTACTATCTGTCAGGGAAGAGATCAACGCAGATGAAACCAATAAAAGATGATGGAGGAAATCGAATTACCGCCAAAGAAGAGAAACAAAGGAAACAATGGGCTGACCACTTCAAGAAGCTCTTGAATCGACCACCACCACCACCACCACCACCACCTGCACTTCGTCCACAAATACCACATGCAGCCCAGCCACTGAACTACAAGTGAACATAAATCCTCCAACAAGGGTGGAAGTGCTGAGCGCCATAAAGCTACTGAGATGTGGGAAAGCATCAAGACCAGATGGAATCCCACCAGAAGCACTGAGAACAGACGCAGAGACAACAGCGGACATGTTCACACAACATCACTGTTGCAGAAGGTGTGGAAGGAAGCGAAGGTACCTGGCGATTGGAAGGAGGGTTACCTTGTCGAACTGCCGAAGAAGGGAGACCTCAGTGTTTGCAAGAACTGGTGAGGAATCACTCTCCTGTCCACCCAGAGCAAGCAAAATATTAGGCCTCATCATCCTAGAGAGACTAAAGGATGCGCTCGATTCAAAACTACGACCGGAGCAGGCTAGCTGGATTCAGGAAGTACAAATCATGTGTGGACCAAACTGCAAAGCTACGCTTCGCATCATCATACAACAGAGTATAGAATGGCAGTCAACTCAACTCTACCTCAACTTCATCAACTTTGAGAAGGCCTTCGACAGCGTCGATCGAGAGGTAATTTCGAAGCTGCTTCAACACCACGGTTTTAGTGCCACAAACCATCATCAGCCTCATTCAACAACTACATGAAGATGCCACATGCCAAGTAATTCATAATGGGAAGCTCAGTGATGCTTTTGAAGTGAAGTGAAGACAGGAGTGAAACA